AGTATCTTTCTCGTTTCTCATTAAGAACGAGCTGTGTATAAATTCTCCAACAAGTTTGATTACATTTGTGTTAGAATTTTTCATTAAGTATGTAAATTTGTTGGTCAGTTTTTGTTTCATCAGGAAACTGTATATTTGAGAATATATCCATTCGCAGTGTGTTATTTTGGGCATTTGATGAGGAGATGCATTTCATCTTCTATGTCTGCTAAAGTACATTGTTTACAAATCCTGTTTTCCAAAGAAATTTTAGGTTGGGTATGTCTACCCTTTTCTATTGCTAGGCTGTGATTACTTGTTCGGAATCTAGAGACAGAAATTCTATGTTTTAGATTCAGTATAATTAAGTAACTTTCAAAGTTGTAGTTTGTTTTGAATTGAGTATATGTTCTCAACTTAGGTTTATCCATAATTGTCTCCTTCCAGAATTCAATATATTTTTGTTTAATATTGCTTCCTATTCTCTTTATATTTTGTTTTGTTGCATTCAATTTGTCATTGATATTCCTTATATCTAATGTGTTATCTTCCTTATTTAACTCTTTGTAAATTGACATAATCCATGGGAGTTTGCAGTTTATCTGTTCATGGTATGCCTGTTTTGTTAAATTACATTCTGGAAGTTCTTTGATCCGTGCCAAATACTTTATAAGATTTATTTTGATGTCTACTAGTAATGGTAGTTCACCTATTTCTGCTCTACAAGCTAGATTTGATGAAAATTTATTCAATCCAAGCATTCTTTTACTAAATTTCAGATGGGTTTTCTCGATTGGTGTAATGTCCCATTTATTATTTTCTTGAATTTCAAAGCCCCATACATCTGATCCATATAATAGTATTGGTCTTATACATGTTTTGAATAGGTGTAACATTGTTTTGCAGTCAGTTAGTAAAGCGTTAATGTCCCAAAAATCACTAATTTCATGGATGTTTGACCTGTTTTTGTGCGAACAGTTGTTCCATAACCATATATTTTTTTCATGATGGTTAAACAGCTATGGTATATAAAATCATAATGGAAATGTCAAGGAAATCTGATCATGGTAGCTAACTAGTTGTTTCATAACATTTCATTCAATAATTTCAATTTTGTAAAAACAAGAGAATACATTGCTGTAAATAACAAACACTTTGAATATCAGCATTTCCCTAATTTTTACGTAAATTTCTATTGGTTATACAGTTCTAGAAAAAAATGTTTCGAAAAAATTAATTACAATTTGTGCTGGTAAAATTATCAGAGATTAATGTTGTTTTTTTAGGAAATGACAAACTGATGAATGTGATGGCCAAATTACAAAGCTATTTTAAGGACAGTGAACCTCCAAGTGGTGACATTGAATGGAGAATTGGACAGCCGTGTTCTGCGTTATTTTCTGAGGATGAGCATTGGTATAGAGCAAAGATACTGGATATAACAGACCAGGATATAGAAGTAAGACGTCCATTCCTGTTCGATTCCTGATCATTCCACTTTCGCACCATGGAAGGATGAATAAATAATAGATTGATGGAATGGTTGGTGGAATTGAGGATGGAAGAGAGGGAGGGAGCAGGAAGATTGAAATAGGATTGCAGGGAAAGGAAAAGATGATTGATCGGAAGGATGGTAGGGAAGAATGCATGGATGAATGAGAGGAAAAGGAGGATGTATGGATTGGTATGATAGATGGAAAAATGGATGAGGAAGGATGGATGGATGGGTTGATAGGATCGATGAATGGAAGGGAAAGATGAATTTCTGACATGGAGGAAAGGATGGATGGGAAAGAAATAACAGATGGTTGTTGGGATGAAATGGAAGAAAAGGATAGATTGATGGGGTCGAATGGAAATGATAAATTATTGGTGGGATTGCAGAGATGAATGGAAGGGAAAGAAGGCAGAATGCATGGATTGACAAGATGAATGGGAAGGAATGATAGGGTGGATGGAGATTTGATGTAATGAGAGAGAAGGGATGAATAGATGAAGTTGACAGATGGATGCAAGGATTAAGATATAATATAAGTTACAAAGTATACACAAGAATGGGTACTCCATAGCCAAATCTAACACAGGTATTCTTTGTGCAAACTACATGTAATTCAAGATGGCCAATGGTGGCCATCAACAATGGTGTTCCAGGGCCATACTTGTATCTGACATACCTGGCAAATATTATGATCAAACATGATTATAAAAGTTCCATTGTTATTTTATAAACCTGGATTAAATATGTATTTCCATACACAGCATTTTATTTAATTTCAGTTTTGTTTACTATTTTACATTGAGATCTATGTCATATCCTAATTATACTTGTTTACTGTGTAATCATTGAAATGATTCTAGCTTCCTGACAAGCCTAATCTGCATGTTTGGATATGTATCGTTGCAGGTAGCATATATTGATTTTGGTAATACTGAGACTGTTTCAGTAGAGAATCTAAGAGACGAAGTTATAGACACAGATGTACCACAGCAATGTTTGGAATGTTTATTATATGGTGTAACACCAGTAAGTATTGTCTAAAACACATTGCGCTTACATCAAATTGAAATTCGATATATCCTTAAATCATGTTCAAATTGTTTCTCACAGATGACTGATACAGTTTTGATTCAAATTGGTATGGCGGTTAGGCTTATTTGTTTTCAGGTGATTTGAATAAATACGGCCAACTGGTGGCAACTTTGTTTTAAAGCGGCAGGGTTGTCACCTGCACATGCCTGGAAATTGAGTTCCAAGTTACGATAACAATTGAACACACACTAAAATGCAAAGGCTCATGGGTAGACGCTTGTTTGTAAACAATGACATACTATGGCCATCTGACGCATGCTCAGGTGACAACTCCCTCGCTTTAAATTGCTTCTATACAGGTCTTTGTTTCTTGCATTCACAGATTTGATCATAGATTACTTTAAAACTGGTCATTTTAGCAACTATTACTCGAAGAGGACTTGTATAATGTATACTGGATTTGAGTTTCACATTACCTTTTTTTAGAAATTCAACCAAATGTGTTCGGCCAATGGCAGTACATTGCCATTAAGGACTGATAACATCACTATATACCCTCAGACTATATTTACTTTATTAATATCTTGGTCACTGCAGTTGGGGCTGGAATATTGTTAATCTGAGGGTAGCTAATGAGGATGAATGGAACTGTAACTGTGTATTGTCAATACTTGTTTTATTATTGCATCAGGTGTCCTAGTAATTTGATCTGATATCCATGTTGTAAAAACTATTTTGCACTCTCAGTCTGT